ACAGGTGTCTGGGATGTTTGAATTAAAATAATGCATTTTTGACGGAGTAAGATATTGTCTTGTTAACCATTTATATTGAAGTAGTCGAGATTGCACATGTATTTCTTTATTTAATCATTTACACGCATATTGGCCGATATTAACTATCTGTATCTGCTGTTATAATGCTGAAAAATGAAATTTTATTTAATTTAAAAAGTAAGGAAGAAACGTAAAAGTTCTGATGTTCCAGTCTCTGCAAACAATTTTACAACAATTTTCTTGTATGTTTTAATATAGGACCCAAAACAGGAGACATTTAACTTCTATACTAGATCTGAATGTAAACTAAGCCTACTATTGAATTGTGTTTTTACTCTTAGACTGCTGAACACAACCAAAGCTGCAGCTGTAAGAATAAAAACTAAAAATGCCTTTTAAGCATTAATTTAATAAAATACTAAATTATGATCCATCACAGTCCTTATCTTAAAGACAGAGCTGTGACACTGATAAATCTGTTACTTATGTAACTTATACAGTCTGCCTTTCCCCCCCCCAAAAAGCATTGAATAGGCTGGACTTGATCAAAGTAGCAGCTCTGTTCCAGTTCCAGTAATTGTGATTGGTCAAATGGTGCCAGCACCACCCCTTTCATGTGAACACTCAGAAGAAACCCTTATGAAATTAGGCTTCATAATAACTTAATAATAATAATAATACAGTTGTGTGTGACTGCTTATCCTGATTCCTAATGTTAGGGTCAGTAAACCCAGATAATGCAAAGAAACCCAGAGTGTAATGAAATCACCTCATAGAACAAAGCGCTAGCTGCCTCAGCACATGGACACAATAAGTTTTGACTGATTGAAAGCAAGTACAAATCATCACTGTGCAACACACAATAAAGCATAACCATATGAGAAACATTTTTTTTTACAACCAAATTTTATTCTGATTTAACTGCTACGTACCATTAAGATATATTTATGCCTCTAATCAGAAGAATTGTTTGTTTTGTCAAACCAGCAACCTTCTGTCAAGACAGAAGATGGTTTTCAGCTTCAATTCTCTCTCTTCCAGACACCAAGCTGCAGGTTTCCTCTGCCTACCTGACCTTGAAGGCCCAGGGGAACCTCTGCAGTGTGTGCATGTTTGTAAGTGTGCTCACACATACTGCTGAATTCCCATCAACCAGCCTGGCATACAGCCTATTTGTGAACCAGCGTGTATAGTCAGGGGCCCCATGCCTTAATTAAATCTAATCTAATTCAGATGCTCCACCCGCCTGCTACCCAACCAGACACCAGCAACTAAAACAAGCCCCCTCGACCCCTCCCTTGTGATTTTTAAATTGGCCAGTCCTTCACGCTACCAATTAATTATGAACTGGACTCAGTAGAGAAAGGCAAAAACAAAGAAGAATCATTTCCATAATTACCTATTTAAAAAAAAAAAAAAAGGCGCAAATAAAGAGATCCCACGACTGCCAAACTATGCTGCCTATCAGGTTTCAGAGCAGCCTTCTGGGAGCAGAAAGATACATACACAAAAGAAACTCATATTGCTGTAACATTAACAATGGGAGCCTATTTGGTGCATTAGCGGCAGAGGTCTGAAAGGCTGTTCAAATCACACAGGAGATAAAAAGACAGGGAGAAAAGAGGGTGAAGCAGAGACCCTCTCTGTCAGGGGGAGAGAGAGGGGGATAGATCCTGTGTGGCAGCCCCCCCACCTCCCACCCCATACTGTGTGTGTGATTGAGCGCTGCTGCCTATTCTGTATGGTTTAGTTGAAGTTACGGTACAAAGAATGGTGTCATCATCGCATGCAGAGATAGGTGAGCAGGTCTCACCATCAAAATGGAATTTTTGATAAGCTCTGTAATGATGCTGGAGCAACACGATACACCACTTCAATAAATATCTATAGTCAGTGCAACACGGTGGATCTGAAACCAAATTATTTGTAAAAATATTCTAATAAATGATATAAAATGAGACACAAGGTCATTATTTACATCAATAAAAGCATCTTGTCTGGGCTGGGCCTGTGGAC